GACAGTATTAGGACCGATACTGTTCCTTGTGTACATGAATGATATTACAAGAATTAATGGATTTAAAGGACACTATTTTTGTTATGCAGATGATACAGCTCTGATCTTCACAGGAGAAACTTGGGAGGAAGAAACTACTGAGACTGACTTGCAAAAAATACACGACTGGCTAAACTTAAACAAACTCACCCTGAATATTGAAAAAACAAAATTTCTCACATTTACGCCAACAGTCACTACCCAACCAAAAAATATTCTGATACAATTACACATCACAAACTGTCAAGAGATCGATTGCACATGTTCCATAGTAAAAAAAGTGGAAAAAATCAAATATTTAGGAGTAGTCTCAGATCAATGCACGCGCTGGTCAGATCACATCACAAATGTTAATAACCGTTTAAGAGTCTTGATGCACAGTTTTTATATCCTGAGAGACGTACTTACCAGAAGAAATCTCCTTTTACTTTACAATTCCCTAGCTGAATCTGTAATGACCTACTGTATTACAGCATGGGGTGGGGCCTTCAATACTACACTTGATTCTCTACAAAAAACACAAAATATTCTTCTAAGAATTATTCTGAAAAAAATAAACGCTATTCCACTGACATGCTATACCAAGAATCACAGGCCTTGAATATAAAACTGTTATTTACTCACCAGTGTTTAAAAAGAATGTACATCAGACACGAAACATCTAACCAGAGAAAAACTGGAATAACCAGATACACTAGTAATTTGAATCTCAGTATACAACTTTTCAGAAAATCTTTAACGCAAAGATCTTTCTTTTTCTTCGGCCCTAAATTCTTCAACTGCATTCCGATTGGATTGAAATGTATTCGAAAACTAGAACAATTCAAAAAAGAAACAAAGAAACATATTCTACAATTTCCAAACAAATTTTATAATATAATGAATAATAATTTAAGATGAACCTTACCTTTAAAAACTATCTGTTCTCCTCTGTAACTGACCCTGCCTGAAACGGTTTGGAATGCTCACCATTTGCAACTTATATTATATAATTATTTGTTATTTTAAAAAAAAGAAAAAAATTCATTGAGTCTATCATGTTAATTTTTCTACTAAATTTTTTCTCTGCTCACTGCTTAGTTATAATCATAAAATGTACACTTTTTTAGAAAGTCTATAGATCTAGTACATGGCAGAACAGATAAACATATCTAGGCCAAGTTACTGGATCTGAGACTTTTGAAAAACACGATATGTTACATGTAAATATATAAACTGTACTTCAATATATCAATATAATATATGTATATGTTACGGGCAACGTGATTAACTGGGCATTATTAATAAGGACCGGCCATTATTAATAATGCCCAAAAGCGTTGGGCAAAGTCATTAATTTATCAATTTGACCGGCCATTATCAATAATGCCCGATGGCCCGTGGTCCATGTAATAAGTTATAAGTTTAGCTGCAAACCCAAAGTAGGTTCAAAATCAGTCTTGCTATCATTTGACGGGTTAACGGAGATAGTAAGTAAAGATGACCTTGAGGCAGTATTAAAAGATGGTGATTCCGGTGAAGGTCAAAACGTATTTGTGGACAGATGAAAACTCAGCCGCTGTTACTGGTTCTATTTCTGTTACGATCGAACTTGAACCCCGTTTCAAACTGGAACAACAATCTGACGATATTCAACCAGAAAGTCAGCAACCTACTGTGGACATAATGATTGAAAACCCTCGGCCAGACGATCAACAACTTTCTGAACTGGAACAACCCACTGTGAGTGTGGACATAATAAATGAAAACCCGTGAGCAGCCGATCAACAGTATTCTATCAATATGAACAATGAAAAGGAAAATTCTGATAATGAAAAGGCTGCATCTTTACTCAACGCAAAATCAAATGAAATTCGGAAGGCTTGCAACGCAGCTAAAGAATCACTTGATAAGCAAGCCAAAAAAATGTTGGCGAAATTTCCTATTGCAGAAATAGGCCACAGCGTTCAAGTAAGAATACCAGATTTAGATCGAGCCAAGACGGATAGTCGTAATATAATTCCTATTATTTTATCTGTCGTAGAAAAAAAACTTTACAAACTTGGAACTAAACACGGTATTTTGAACCAACTGTACATCAGAAATGAGTTTACTGCTTCCAGCATTGTAACTGTAGTGGTGACTGCAATTCAAAACATTGTAAATGCAAGAAATCAAACATTTCAAATGTCACAAAAGCTCATCTTCCAAGAATAAATGATTCTAAACTTAATAACTTCCTTGCATAGTCTTGAATTATTAGATGTTTCTGTTGATTTTTTTCAGTTTACTAATTTTTAAACTATTTTTTAAGTATTTCTTTTTCAACTACTATGTTGAATAGTTTACTTTTTGTTAACTTTTCATGAAAATTTTGTAAGTTTTTTTTTCATTTAATGAACAAAAAAACTACAGTTCACCTATTTCATTACTTGGCCCAAGATAGGGTGGGCATTATTCATAATGGCCGGGAAAAGTGATTAATCATGCTGTTTTAATCACATTGCACAATTGAGTCGGGCATTATGAATACAGACCGGCCATTATTAATAATACCCGGACTTATCAAAATGCTTGTAACATATTCATGGAGACCTTGCTGTCCACTTCACCGGCCCATTTATCACCAAACCTTTCATATGAATCATTGTTAGTTTATCGTATAAGTTTGAAAATATCCGCATAGGACGAAACTGCAGTAATATTAGTTACAAATAAAAGTAGTAAAAAACATATAAATCTTCTTCCCTCTGTTCATAAAAAAATATTGTCAGAATTATTTTCATTGCCAAACAGTTACTAACTCAGGGGTTATTGTTCTATTTCTTCAACAGGCATGTACCAAGAATGACATTTCCCAGAAAACAATCAATAACTGATTTTTTAAAACGAGTTAGGGTAAAGTATTTTCATGTATTTCATCTGTGAGAAACAGAAATATAAATATCAGAAGTCAACACCTACACTTCATAATATTTAAATGCTTCTCACCTTGAACATGTACTGGGAAAACCTCACCATTATTGACGGTGAACTCAATAAATATTTGAAGTGCTAATGAATTTCCGGATTGTGGTAATTATTCACTGTTATATTCCAATCAATATCTACTAGGATAATCAAAACTTGAAACTTTAGTTTTTGACGCTGAACGAACTGATCACAATTTTGTCACCGAGTTAGAACCCGTTCAGCAAAAGCCCCATATGAAAGTCGCAGGAATCATTTCACTCCTTCGGCAACACAAGATTAGGCCAATGCTGGGGGTCTTCTTCAATAACATCGAAGACCTTCGATATTCAAAAGGACTGTCCTTCGCATTTCTCAGGTCGAGTGGGCTGATGTCGAAAACTGACGAGTTTATCATGGCCTGATAGAATGGTGTTTCCAATATGTTAGCCTAGCCCAGTCGCGTGATGGAACTAGAGGTTCCTGACACAAGGTGCAGGTGCAGGGTCTGACACGAAGCGTCCGAGACTCCAATGCACTTGCAATCAACATGTCCTGTATATGTGGTCTCGGACTATATATGATAATAATAATAATAATGTTTATTCGGATTCAAATCACAAAAAGAAATAACTGAAGTAATACAGTTGAATAAGCATTGTAGAAACCACAAAAGCATCAGATGTTGCTTGTATGTGGTGAAAAGGAGATTCAAAGGAAAAAAATGAATATATGATAAATATCAAAGTATGATAATGAATTATATATATTTTGACAATACAGTCGATCATCACCTGTTAAAAATTCCATTTTCAAATGATTTAACAATAAGCTTTGCACGGACTGGTTATTAGTCATATTAGGAAAAGCTAGATGAAGTTCCAGAAATTCACATTAGTTTTCGGTACTTCTTGAACATTTACCACAAAGTAAGCAAGTGAGGATTTTTCCAGCAAAAGATTTACAAACACAAGTACGGAATCATTCAGTTCAGAGCGGTCAGGAGTATTGATTTTGCTACTGTTTTGCTCACGAAGAGTATTCAACAAGAACTCCAAGAATTCGGAACAATCCTCTTGTTGCCCTAACGAGTATCTAGTAGACTTCAACGACTCCAGGAAATCGATTGGAGGGAAATATGATACATTCTTACGAAACTGCAGCTGCATGAACAGGTGTTTGAGTTTGATGAATAAGTAGGAAACATTGATACGATTTTACACGTTTGTCGTTGTTTTACTCATTATACTTTGTATCTGAAACCTTAGACTTTCATTTTCTCTTGGACTGAGAAAAATACCATACTTATAGAGTAGAATGAATCTAATAAAACAAACATTAGACACTGCTTAGCCAATCTATCGAGTAGAGAATAGTAAGTATTTTAGCTAAGATTAAAATACAGTTAGAGAATATTCGACAATCATTCTGGAATATTATGATAAGAGATCCTATAAGTTGGTATACCAAATTATCAGATTTCATAAAGACCAGCCTTCGTGCGATCGACACGAGAAAATCCGCATCTGGTGACAGCAGCTGCCAAATTGAATTTGACAAAACAGTCACGGCATTAGCGAGAGGGGTCCATAGGGTGACAACTAGCTAAATGATATTTTTTTCCAAGTGTTGATAGACAGTTAAAAGTCAACATTATTTCACTGGTGACAGCTTAGTGTCATTTCACGAGGATTCCACTGGAAATCTAATTACACTGAGTCGTTGAAGTTATTACACTGGTGACAAATGAATGAGAATAAGTTTAGTTGTTACACTGGTGAGCACTGTCAAAGTCGACGTTATTACATCATTATCGCTGGTGTTTTTCAAAGTTTATAATCGATAATTGCGAACGAAAACCATGCAAACTCTCGAAAATCGGTTTGTCAAAAAAATCACTTGGTGATCCTTTTCTTTTCATTAAAATGAAGCAAATTTATCATTTTAGACGTAACCTAATGCTTATTTTTAACATCAACAATCGGCTTGTTATCAAAAACAAATGTAGAAGAATGAAACAACGTTTTAAGATTTGTTTTAATATTTCTACTTCATTATAACAATGGTATAGTTGTTTGAAAACATATTCTGGACAATGGTCTAGTCCAGGTATCAAAGAAAACGATATGTTTTCGCTATTTCAAAGCAAAAGCCTCGCTTCATTCAGATCCTCACAAAATAAGATATCCATTGGAATTCAAACTTCATGTCATCCTCTCTTGTACATTCTATAAGTGAAATGTGACAGCTTTATGTTATACTGGTATCCCTTACTGATATCCTATTTCCAGAAAGGTTTTGGAATTCCTGTTTGTGAAGAGATACGGTGAATTTGGTTTGGGACATTCGAAAGTCTCTAAAATATACTTCAGTTTCTTAGTACTCTTTCTCCCCACCGGTTCCACCAGATTATTCCACAGAAGATTGGCAGCTAAAAAAAATTATATATATATTTGCGTCATTTCTAAACAACAGTTTGTGATCAGACGAATATTATGCAAATACGTCTATGGAAAAAGTGGATATGCAGATTTTAAAAATTATACGTTGCATTGAATAAGATTTGATCAATAACTTGATTTTTTTATGTTTGATTATACAGCGTCACCATTAAAGTGCGCACCATATGGGAAATTTTTTTTTCGAAAAGTTTCAATGAAGTCTAACTTCGGCACTTGTTTGTGCTTTGAATTAAGCTTAAAATGATGCGGCCAACTGCGACCCACTGACGTTCATTGCTTGTCAAATTCAACTTTTTTTTGAAAAAAATTGAAAAAGTGCATTTCTAGATCGAATTCAACAAAAAGTTACTTGAAAAAGTTTTGTCTATGGCAATTTTATATCCATATGCCAAATTTTATGCAACTAGGATAAAGGTAACGTTTTGCTTATTTTTGACAGATATCCCCTTTATTTTAAAAAACAAGTTCGGTTAATTGTCATCAATTCATGTATACATAACAAACTCATCATGGAGTTTCACTTTTCTGATACATTTTCACTTATACGGACATTTTTAGAGAGAAATTAAAATTTTGTATGAAAATTTTAACATGACTGGTGCAAAGTTTCAATCACTTGGCTATTTTCTTAAACAAACCTTTGATTTCGGAAAAGCAGAGGCAACTAAAAAAAGATGCAAATAATTCCGATAGAACTATCATTATTATAAATTTTAAACAACAATAATATTATAGAAAATACAAATGGGTACAAAAAACTACTTATTGATCTAAATTAGGTTGTCAAACACTTATAGCCTACATTTCATTATGTCGTCCTCCACGTTCAATACAAATTATAGTCCTTCTACTGACATCTGTAACTGCATTTTTAATAAATCGGGGATTTATATTTGCACAGCACTCGCGAATGGTATTTTCCAGATGTTGTATGTCAGTAAATAGTCTACTTTGGTACACTTTTTGTTCCAGGTAACCCCACATGAAAAAGTCTAAGGGCGTCAAGTCTGGCGATCTAGGTGGCCAATAATGTTCCCAGTTATGTCCAATAACTTTGCCTCTGAACATTTGTTGGGGGGACTGTTTCACAGCAAACGTGTAATGTATTGGTGCGCCATCAAGCTGATACCATAGGTCGTATTTAATATTTTAAGGCATATTATCTAAAACTTCACTAACCTCATTATTTAAAAGGTTGAGATAACCGATGGATGATGAATTTTCCCTGAAGAAAAATGGCCCAATTATTTGGTCGTTAAGTATCCCACACCATACATTAGTTTTAAAGGAATACTGATCACCACATTCAACTGTGAAATTGGGATTTTCTTGGGCCCACCATCGGCAATTTTGAGAACTCACCGTTCCATTTGAAGAGAACGTTGAAACCAAAATGAAAACCCCAAACGGACATCAAAATCTCGTTCTTTCAATGTTTTTATAAATTTTGGCTTGTAAGGCAAAAATTTATTCTTTAATGAAATTTTTCTAACACTTTCTCTCTTGTAATCGGTATATTTTATAATTTATATAATATAAATCTGAGTAATTTATACCTACATTGCCCATCCTATCATGAATAACTTAGTACCTACATTGTCTATACCTGGAATATCGATGAACATAACAAAACAAAACTATTGATATAATGTAGGTTTTGGGAACTGGGTAATAGGTTCGGGAGGAGACTATTGTTCAGATCAAGATGTAATAGAATTGGGATTTTTCTTTGGCTTGTTTATTTCCATAGATTCCAACAGATTCATTATTTTCCCTTTTTCGCTTGTGTGGAGGATTTTTAAATTATCCTTATCTGTTTTATGTTTCGAATTTTGAAGATGATCGTATATTAATATTTTTGTATCCGAAATAGCATGTTCATGGTACGTTCTATCAAAATTTCTCCCAGTTTGACCTCTATATATGGCGGGGCATTCACCACATTCTAGTCGGTATACACAAGATATCTTCCCTGTCTCTAATTTAAGTTTGACATTAAATAATCTGTTTCCTAAATTCCTGTTGGATGTGTAGGATGTTTGTAGATTCAATTTTGAAACATAATTTTTACAAGAGTGTGTTTTTATAGTTTATCCTCAGTGAACATGAATAAACAAGTCGTCATTCAAAGAAGTATCCTATATTTAATATGAATTTCCACAAAATAAGTCATCAATCGAACAGGCATGTTCTGGAAAAGGTGACCAGAATAAATTCATAGGCGAGCGGAGAATTACTTCTTGAAGGAAATATTTTGAATCGAATTTGAGTCACCTTGTGTTTACTTAACGCTAATGAGTACAACTTTGGTCTCATTAAGGTCACAGCCGAAATCAAGAGCATCAAATTCATGCAAAAATAGAAACATGTTTCTCACCCAATGCGTGACCTTTTTGAGAGAAATGAAAACAGTCGTGAGTGATGAAAGAGATGTCTATGACTTCGTCAAATCGATGTACTGGGTCATCAGGGGCGTTGAACAACTTCATGAATGGTTGCAGAACAACAGTAAAATCTTCCCTTCTGTCATATCGGCCACTTGCTATCTGAAACGGAAAAACGGGTCTCGATTAGAGTGACCTTCTGTCAATCAGTACGATCGTAAACAAACGTATGTTCATATGTATGTTTATGTCTATGTTGTCAATCTTGTTTCAAATTGGAAGAAAAAGAGAACGTCGAAGACTTTGATGTTTACAGTATCTATCCAGGGGCGGCTTTACCTGTAGTGCAGGGGGTTAGCCGTAACGGGACGCCTGCAGATGTGAAACATCGAAATAATTTGTACAAGTAATATGCATAAAAGAACAGATTACGGGTACGCCACTGAACGTTGTCTATAATTGAGATTTTTATGTCTGTGCGATACATATTCAATCCTCTGGCTATTTTCTATGCTGATATTCGGTGGATTTGGGCCATGGAAATACCGTAGGTATTTCGTTTGAAGTTACCTTTAATCAAGGTCAACTATTTTGCTGACCGCAGAAGTAGAGTTTCACCTCTGGTAATTTATTCAACCTGATCACACAACCTGATCACACAAGTAATCCTTTCGGCAATTCACTGGATTTATAAAGCACCAGTAAGAGGTTATGTTCCATCAGAGGGAGGTGTATCTACATGAATCGTGTTCGTATCAGGGCCTGATTATTCCATTTGTATGGACTATCTCCACCGCCAACTTCAGTCACAACCGTTTTGTTGTTGGATTCTTATACAGTGGGACCCGTCATCTCTGTCAGTGGAAACACCCTCAACTAAGAGGTTTGTAAATGCACTATATTTCTTCTACCGCGTATATTTTTTATAATATATGTTCATTCTTCAGGGATTCTGTCTGTTTTTTCCTATACTAATATAACATTCAATTGAAATTGACGTTGAATATTTCATTACCATCTGATATTTCCCCTGTGCTGAAATTGAATCTTTTTCCCAGATATTTTTATGGAAGACATATTCAAAATTATTTATAGTTTTACCTCAGTTATCAAGGCGGTTTTCTTTTTTTCTGGCCAAAATTAGGTTGCGCAATAAAGAACAACCTTTTTTTTTTTCAATTGAACCTACGATCACAGACCCTAGCAAAGTTGAGGAAACAAATAATCAGCAAAGGAATAACTGCAAATATCTTTGAATTGTTTTGTCCATTTCTGAGGACGGAGGCAGATTTTGGCTCCCGAAACATTAAGATAAGTATTGTATTATTTCTTAGCAATTTTTTTGATAGGCAAAATTGTTCAATACAACAAGTTATTGATAAATAGAACATTTTATCTCAGTGAAAAATACTTTGATTATACACAGTCACTTACCCAGTCAGAATATTTGAAAATCCTTTTTTATTGCGAATTTACAATATAAAACGAACCTACAAACAAAATTTCAGCATCCAAAAATATAGAGGTATGGAAAAACAGGTCATTTTCATATGTAAACGCGTCCCTTTCATCCCGAGAGGAAAGGGGACAGTTGGAATATTAAAAAATCCTTTCGTATTGCTAAAACTAACTGCATACAAAATTTAAGCTTACGAAAATATAGAGGCAGGGAGAAACACTGATGAAAAGGTCATTTTCGTATATAAACTTCCCCTTTTCACCTCCACAGGGGGCGCCCCAATGGAAATATTTGGAAATCCTTTCTTAGCGCGCATCTAAGACCAACAATGCACTAATATTTAAAGTTTTAGCTTTCTACGATGTATCAGTAGATATCAAGAATTCTTTCCAAAAATTGATGATTGTTCATTCAATAAATATTTATTTTCGTCGAATATAAAAATTGAAAATACAAACATTTATTTCAAATCGTCACAACTCAATTCTTCAATCAGAGACTTCGGTAGTAGCTATATTCGTTTTTGTCTCTGACAGTATTACTGTGCCAACTATAATTATAAAATATACAAATATACTGACTAGTGACTTGATAGTATTGCTTTCTTTGCACAAGGCTGCTCACCTTCTCAATTATCACTGTCAGACATATTTTATTTGCTATTATTTTTTAAAATTAATTGTTGAGTAAAACACAGGTTATGTATACTGTGTTGAACATAACTGTATACACTATATAAGTGTACGAGCGCAGTATGCCGAGAGAGATAGCATAACGCCGAACCAATGGAAAGATAATCTATCATATAGCGTGGCGACGTGTCGCCATGACATGCGTCACCACGCTAGCAATCGGTTTTACGTGCGGCTATAAATGTTTAACATTAAAAAATCGTTCAGTTCTAAATATACCCGTTAATAATGAAAAATCAGTACCAACCAATTCCTCTTCGGCCGTTTGATATGCTTTGGTCAAACTGGTTATAACGTCCATTTCATTTCCCCCACGATGAAAGCATTCGCAGAAGAGTCTATGCAGAAATCTGCACATTATTGTTCTTTTTATCCTCAAACTGACAGATACATCTGAAATCAGAAAAAACATTGTTAGCCTCATATAAAAGGAATGATAATTTTTTTGAATAGAAACATGAGGGTATGTCTCATCTCAGGATTGATACTCAGTCAGATGTATTCGCTCCTTTCTATATAAGGAGATTTCCGTCGGTATCTGGCAAGTGTAGTGTTGAGTTTTCAAACAGTTATATCGTGGGAAAAAAATGAATAACCTGAGACTTTCATATGATGACCAGTGATATTTTGAATTCGTATCATCTCTTTCTATAAAAGAATCTTAATTCAATCAGATCTCTGCTATCTTCAGCCTTTTCCGCCCTGATAGAACCAAAGGAGTTTCAGTATCCAAAGAAATTCTTCAGTTATCCAGAACTCACAGAAACTCAGAAGAATCTATCAACCTCTATTCAGTTCCAAATTTGTTTCGTGGGATGTCACAAATTTATATACATACAAGCGTCCTTCTAGAAGAGTCAGTACAAGCTCATAGATGAAATGCAGTTCTTTAGATTGGGTAAGAAGCTATCTCACAGAAAGGGCTCAACGGGTTATAATGGATAATGATCAATTATGCTCATCTCTTCAGGAAACTTCTTCTGGTGTACCGCAAGGTAGCATTTTAGGTCCATTAATGTTCTCTCTTTTCATTTTTGACTTTCCTGCCACGTTATTCCAGTGCGACGTACATTTATATGCTGATGATTTTCAATTATATCTGTCAAGTTAATCTAATAATATTTACCATGCTATCACCAGGAATAACTTAGATTTAGAAAATACACTTCTATTTTCCAAAAAGCATGGCCTTCGAATAAATCCAAATGAAACAGTAGCCCTTTGTTTGGGATCTGACCTACAAAGATATTGAAGAAGTTGAAACAAATTTTCATCTTTTCCTTGACAATGAACCGATTGACTGGGTGAATTCAGCAAAAAATTTAGGTGTATATATCGATATCACTTTCTCGTTCAACGAGCACGTTAAACACATTTACAAAACTTGCTTTTTTAAACTGAAATCCTTATACAAGTTCAAGTTCCAGCTTTCTCAAGAAACAAAACTGAAATTAGTTCAATTATTGCTTTATCCCCATATTGAGTATTGCTGCTCAGTGTATTACAACTTCTTGCTAGACTATAATAAACACAAACTTCAACGCATACAAAATGCTTGTATGAGATTTGTGTGCTGCATAAACTACCGTGATCATGTAACTCCATATTTATTTAAATTAGATCAGCTGAATACTTAGAATTCGTTATCTCATATCTGTATTCTTATATAAACTATTGGAAAGCAAAACTCCTAATTACTTGTTCAGATTAATTAGTAAGCGATCTGATAATCATTCTATCAATTTAAGAAAAGATACATTTACCATTCCATATCATGTTACCACCAAATTTGAGGGATGTTTTTCTTACTTTGGACCGAAGTATCTAAAAAAACTTTGAAAATTCATTTCTTAGATGTTCAAAAATGATTGTAATATTTTATATCATCTCCATAATAGTTTTTTTTTAATAATTTTTGTGTCTATAGTAACTGTTACTTATAGTCTTACTGAATGCTTTTTTTTTCTTAATTATGGGACGGGGAAGGGTTAGCCCTCTGGCTAACCCTTTTCCCTTTGTGTATAAAACTTGTTTTTGCACAATGAACGTTATTATTATCATTATTATTACTTCAAAATCATACAAATCTTTCAATTCATTCAGATATCCTCACTCTACTATCAACGTGTATAACCCAAAGCATTTTGAATTCAACAGCTTCATTGACTTCAACGAAGAGGGCCTCATAGTTGGTAATTCTCTGAGCCCCCTACTAGCTGCCGGATTGGCTGTTCTTGTTCATCTTTCACTGCCTGAACCACTGTGCATGGTGTTTTTGGCGAGTCCATTGGCTAGGGATGTGGGGGTTGAGCAAACTGACCATCGGATGCCTGCTTCCACGTAGCCCCGCTGCATACGGGAATGACACAATCACTTATGGGTCTGTTATTCCCTAACTGAATGGCATCTTTCTCGTCATGGGACTTTTATGGACAGAGAAAACTTAAAAATTCTTTCTGGCGCTAAGTCTACAGAGGAGATGGATGTCGAGTTCACGACTCCAACTGACCTCCCTGTAAATTTAGTTCAGGAGCGAGAGCTTCTCAACTCCCCAACTCCTGGTTCAATAACTGAACCTGAAAAAAAGGTTTGGTGGTACAGCCAGAAAACGACTGAGTCTTCTCCTCGAGAGCGGGATACCTTATAAAACCGCCTTGCACCAAATTCTTAAGCGGCGTAGCTGACGTGCTAAAACCCTCATATGGGAAGGTGGTCACGGGTATCAAGGTGGAATCTTGCATCTTGACTATCCGACTACTTCGACTACTCCACTGCAACCCTTGCGGGTTGCAGTGGAGGGTCGAATAGACCCACTCACTTTGGGCTTAACCTAACCAAACCTAACCCCTCTGAAATTTTCATGCACTCCGAACAAAATACTCATCAACACCCACCAGCATGGGGAGTTGTCTCAAGCATACCAACCTGAAGAATTTATTCGCAGACTGATCAATAATCAGGTTTTCACTAGACTGAAGAAAATGGTTTGACTGCTCATCTGGAGTGAATCTTACATTCGCCAGCTGGCCTGAAAGATCACCCACCAAATGAAGTGATTCGCTTCGTTGGGAAGCTGGATTTATTCGGTCGAAATTGAATAGATATGAGTCATAATACATCCTCATGGATTGCAGTGAAGAAACGAATAGACCCTCCTACTTTGGACCCACTCTACCCAGCCCTATAATTCTATACGTATTCGGGTCACAAATACATTCTATGTGATTTTAGTCTCAATCAGTTATGCACTTTTTGATCACTGATAATAAAAATCTTTGTACTTCACCTAAAACAGGTATCAAATTGATCAACGTCCTTGGTAAATTTTTCTCCAGATAATCCAGAGCTCTAGCCAGCTTCCTCACATGGTTGAAACTGGATGCTGCCTCTTGATCGAAACACTGCCCAGAACATATATCGTTAGCACCAAAAAATATCGTTATCATTTTCCAGTCTCTCTTCACGTCGATCTCTGGATTAGTCTTCATCTTCTTCACGAGGATTTTCGCTTGTCGAAGAGCGTCAGCATCTGCAGCAACTGGGAAGGCAACGTTGAGTTTCGAATGTGATGACAGGAATTCCCCCGTTCCCGTTGAGTATCCCGTGAGGTTTGGGTTGAATTCCTTCAGAATGTTGGGTAGAGTGAGGAATTCTCTCCAAGTTCCTTGCCCCCCTGAAAAATTACAGAAATTCAGTATGGGGGCTCCTACATACTACTTAATGAATTCAATAACAGGTGAAATAGTAGAAGTAGATGGGCCAAAAGTTATGAGTAGAAAAGAGTGGCTAGTTTTTTAGTTTCAACCCTTATTCTAGACTTCACCAATCAATCCTCAAGCTATAAGAACCATAAATGACCTTAGAGCTCTTAAGAAAGAGTTGAAAGACTTGCTCTCTGGGAGACCTTATTATAGCTTAGCAGAATTCTATGATGATAATTTTAATTGAGAAGACTAACTGTAATATCTACGGTATTTTATTGATTTCATTTCATTCAATTTAGTTTAAATTGATTTATTTACATTTTGTTGACCATGTTCTTATATCCTGAACGTTTGTTATTATTTACATGTCTCTTTTCAGTTCATGTTATAACCTACTTTTAGTGATTTTACTTTTGTGATTTCATGTATATGTTATTTATATTTCGCACAAGGCTTTGTCAATAGGAATTTATTCTTCAGACAATAAAGTATATTAAAAAAAAAAAAAATCAGCTGCTGATCTTTTGAAAATATCTTCATTCCATGACTATTGAGGAAAGCATCAATTATGTGACATCTTCTTGTCGAATAAGTTACCAAAATCTCATTATCCCGATCGCAGATGACCAAATTCATGACTTCACAGTTGATTTATCCAAAGAAGGTCGATGAAAAACTGATTTTCCTCCAAAAACGTCGAATCCATTCATTAAAATGACATTTCTTTTTGCGATACTATGTTACTAACAAAAACTGAAGTAGAACCATGGACTCGGGAAGTGGAAAAGAGTATAACCAGAAATTTGTAATGTGACAAAAAAATCAAGTGATAATTTTCGAAACTGAGCAGTTAACAACGGAACGAGAGTTATTGAAAACATGAATTGCTCTTTATCATTTGTTAGCTTCTTGGAATGGTTGTTAGAACGTTAGACTTTTGTGCTATAGAGGTTCTTGGTTCAATCTCGAGCTCACGCCATTTTTTTCCACTCAATTTTCAAACCATTCAAAATTGAAAATAGATAAGAACTAAGCGTGAAGAGCCAGAAAGTGGGTATTGGTTTGATCGTGCCTGTAATAAGCCGCATTGTGTGGTTGAGCTGGACTTCGTGAGCGCTATTAAGCCACACTGGAGCGCAATATTCAACTGCTGAATGTACCAAGCCCAGGGCTGAAGATTTCAGTGTGAAGGCTGATGCTCCCCAAGTTGTGCCTCGTAGTTTCTGGAGGATGTTATTATGATCCAATCCGATCTACTCTCCCTCGAAAGAAACCGACTCCGCTCCAGGCATCCCCTTCTCAGCACTGGAAAATCTCTCATGATGCCAATTTTGACATAACTGTCTGCTTGTGAGAAGAATTGGGGGGTCAATGCTTCATTAGCCTACCACAACATGCCTTGCATATCCAGCAAGCCACATGGATTTAACTCACCCCGCAAAACATGGTCAACCCTAAATAGAATCAGAGCCAAATGTGGGAGATGCTCTGACTCACTTTTTAAATGGGGTCAAAACCTTTCCCCCAGGTGCGACTGTGGAGATGATATGCAAACAATCAGCCACATCGTTGAAAACTGCCGACTGAGGGTCTACCCCGGTGACCCTTCTGACTTCCGGACAGCGACTAAGGGTGCAGTTGAATATATACGTGACTCAGATGTTTATTTGTAAACTCAATTTCCTGTGTTTTTTTTATGCTTTCATACAATTATGTTTATTACGTCAACTTTTGTGATGTGAATAAGCCATACGCTGAATAAAATAAATCACCTGGAGATGAATTTTAGTAATCTATGATGAAATCTGGAGACGCGAGGATACGGGTGTGGAAAAAGTATAATGTCATGTCCTATAAACTATAATTCTATAAACTGCTCATGAACTTGAAATACTTTCGGCCATGCACAAGGGAAAGCTTCTTTTGGGCGCTTCATATTCATTTACTGTTAGCAATAGTTGAATCAAACTCTACATGTATATTTGGTGAATAAATTGTATTGCATTGTATTGTATTGTATTGTATTGTATTGTATTGTATTGTATTGTATTGTATTGTATTGTATTGTATTGTATTTTTCGTGACACGACTATCGTCAAACTTAAACCAGTCCGTTTCGTCTTTGACCAAGGCGTAATAATGATCAAATTCAACGCCAGAACCACAGTGAACAATGACTGCATGAATATTATAACAGTGGTCTACTAGATTGAATGATAAAATGAAATAAAATATCAGTGAGTCGTTTTCTGGCAGGTATGTACCAAGTCCTTATATTCAGGAGATCTAGGATATCAGAAATATTTATTTCCAGCTCGATTTTTGCAGTTTTGAATTTTTTTAACAAAATACAATAGGGTTGTCAGTGGGTAACGTTTTCATATTCACTCACCCGCACACCAAGATACTCCCCGATACTCTATCATTGTTCCAAGGGCAAACTCCTCCATGGCTCCATTCCCAGCCACCAGAGAATCTCCAAGAGCTCCAATAACGTCAATATCTCCTGGTCTCAGTCTATGAACACTTGTAGGTCTCTCCAGAGAACGGCCTATACCAGGTTTGGTCACATTGGCACATGGAAATGGCAAGGACTTTGGGAAATTTATTTGTGTCCTCACACTGCTGTCAGCTCGTTCGGGGTATTTGATGACGAAATTTCCCATTCTACTCTGCACATGAAATGAAAAAAATGTTAATGTTCATCAATTGTTGAAAGTATCATTATATATTTTGATTCACTTTTTCTCCATCTGAGAATATTCCGAAGCTTCTGACTTCTACAAATCTTTTGAAGAGTCATAAATATTCCTCTTTCAGTCAATTTTACAAAAGTGATACGCAGAATTGAAGGAAGAACTATAGAAAAAATTCTTCAGAAACTCCCTTTGTTATATTGCCTTATCAAAATAGGTTGGTAATGTATACTTTTGGTATTTTAATATACAACTGAAAATTCAAGGAATGGATAAGCTATTTTGTAATCTATCAAACGAACAGTCTATGCATCATGAAATACATCAGAGATCCATCTTGGGTCCATCCCTTTATGTAATCTATATAAACGATATATTCTATTACCTTTCACCTAGTGCAGTAATCTGCTTTGACGACAACACCACAATGTTACAATCAAATTCTGATATCTCAAATTCACTTGTAAATGCCAATGAAACTGAGGACGAAGCAGAATACTGGTCAAATTATTATAGTGCAATTCCATTATAGTAGGCACTGAATTCTCAGCAATATTATTAAAAAGAAAACTTTGTTATCAAGGTTGTGATTCGCTATATTTTATCATTTTTCCTCATCTATTCAGTATAATTTCCGTACGACAGTTCAAGAGACTATAGTATAAATATAATTATACAGTGTATCCGCAAAGTATGAAATAAATTCGATATTTCCAAAACCTGAAACACTTCCATTTTCAATTTCAATATCCTACATTTTACAATGAAATTTCATTATGCAGGGTGATCCATATTAATGTAATGACGTCATCGGATTTTTTTTAAATGCAACACCCTGTATTTGGTGTCAGTTTCAGATAATCCGTAACGAGCTGATTCCAAAAAGGTATGATACTTGGGGTCTAACGGACAGAATTTGAAAGATATGCGCTTAGAAAATAAATTTTATTGATATCTAATAAAAGTAGAAATCAATTAATGATTTTATATTTTTTTCTCATGATTAATTTAACAATGGAAAAGTAATCCAGAAATAAATACATGACTTCATTTCAAATGTTCGAACTGTAGTCCTTGCTGTATTTGACAGTAACCTAAACGTTGAATATATTCTTATTAAACTTTGTTTATGGTTTCTTTTAGAAATATTTTTATTTCTGTTCGAATTCTCTCCTTCAATTCTTGAATATTTGCTGGTTTAGTCTTATAGACAACATTCTTCAGATGGCGCCACATAAAGTAATCCAACGGATTCAAGTCTGGCGACCTCGCTGGCCATTCAATATGTCCACGTCTACCAATCCGTCGGTTCGTAAACATTTGGTCGAGATACCTTCAAACATCTGCAGCATAATGTGTTTCAGGTTTTTGTAAAACGACCTTTGGTTTTGGAAATATCGAATTTATTTCATACTTTGCGAACACACTGTAGATGATTCGCATCGATGGGAATCACATATTGACTATCTCTGTAAAAAACTCTCGACGCCTTTGTTTTTACTTCGCCAGTTGAAAAAAGCATTGAGCCATATAACACTTCTCACTACGTATCATTTCCTTTTTCACTGTCACCTTCCACATGGGATACACCTTTGGGGTTGATACTACTTACGGAATTATAGCTGGAGCTCCATTCAACGCACATTGTCAACTACTTTTTGGATAATTGGGAATATCTGCCTTGTACGTTGATTTTCTAGTCACTGTTAGAAATATCCATCTATCGATTCTTCATTGGTTAAATCTGTCATTCAAATATAATGCTGCTTTTTTTTGCACACTTATTTGTACCAACTGTCTATGACTTGTCACAAATGTATATTAAAACGTGAACAAATCAAAATCTATCTATCTATCACAAAGTCGCTTTATTCTCAAGAAAACCTCAACAGTCTTATGGATTACGCGCTCATCCCAAACCTTAACAAACATCATTATATTGTATTTAGCCGAAATAATCTTTCAAACTGAAATTAAACTTTGGAACGCTAAAATATACACGTTTTTAGCAATGTGATGTTTCACAAGCACCTATGAATCATATCATAAAAACAGAAATACCATGATTAATTTCATTAGTTCGGAATTCTATTGTCTAATAATATATAAAGCGATTTGAAATCCCTAAAAAAACCAATACAAAACTAAAAACTGAAAAGAATAACTAAAAGTAACAATTATATTGAGAAACAAACCCTGTGGATATGATAAAATTGGAATCGAAAACATCCACAACAAATTTTCTCTCAAAACAAAATTCGATCCTAATTTGAAAACATTGCCTTATTTTCCTTCTCATCACCTCACTCTGTATGAATCAATTAAACTCCTAGTATTTCATTACATTTTGAAGACCTACATATCAATCCCATTACGAAATTTTAATGATCGAGGTTATGGTCAAGGATTGTGTAAACAGCAATTTTGACTTGATGCTATTAATGCAATAAAATTACTTCCAATCAACTGTGGTTTGGACATTATCAAAAGGCATTTGCATCTTTAATTGCTTTATTGATGTTGCATCGTAAATCATAGCCTCCCTAATTTTGAAGTGAAAATTGCATAATTATATTGAGAAATTCATTCGATATATAAAAAGAAAAAATAGAATTCACTAGTTCGTGAGAATGTTGACAAATAATCAACAAACATTTGAAAATATGCCTTGAATGAAATGATTAAAAACACTTTTTTCTAAATACCACTGGAAAATCGAACAAAACAAGGAGCTTAACTTCTTAGATTTGAATATTTCAAGAGTTGATAATGGTTTTCAATTCAATATCTACCGGAAAAACACGTTCACAGACTGTACAATTCCCTTTGACTCTTTCAGTCCGCTCTCACATAAGTTATCCGCGTTTAGGTCAATGATACACAGAGCTTTCGCCATCCCTTTACCGGAAAAGAATTTCCAAGATGAAAGAAAAATAATTTATTTCTGACCGGGATATTATAAGCTTATATCGTCATAGTTACGCTATCAATAAAGAGGGTCAAAACTCCCTTGGGACATTATAGATTTTATAATTCCCTCTACCTTTCACAAGTAAAAATAAATAGAAATGAAAACTGAACCATATTTTATTTATTCACGTCATTACAAATATCTATGTACCACGGGAATTAATGAGCCTTAATAACCTCAGGCAATTGCTGTCCCTCGGGCCAGAGGCCCTCGGGACGCAAACTTTGCCATCGTTAATTAAGGCCCTCCTAATTCCTTTGATACATAAATAACTATAAGCGAATTGCAGTGAACGATCAGATACCAATTTCCCTAGTAGAAAAGATAATATCAGGTAAATCTCAAAAAACACTTATGAGTGAATTATACCGAAACTTTCGAGAACACAATATAGTCAAGTACAGTAGCATGAATTACTCAGGTAAACTTTCAGATAATATTCAAAATTATTTCTCGAAATACAAAATTTCAACAGCTTTCACAAGTAATGATAATTTAGGAAGAACCCTATTTAATGCAGAACCCAAACGGGATAGAATGAAAAAGTCAGGTATATATAGAATAGAGTGTGGCGAAAGCTCTGCAGTATATACATGCCAAACCGGTAAAAATTTTGAAATAAGACTGCGTGAACACGTCCGTTTGGACAAAAAATCTGCAATGTACGAACATCTTCAAGAATCAAACCACAAGATAAATCCTACATATATGTAATAAAGGAAGAGAAATTAATCTGTTGGAAGCCATGGAAATTAACAAATCAATTAAAAACCAGAAACATATACCCCTAAATGAGCAACTTGGATTATGTAGGTCTCCTCTCTTGAATTTATAAGTTTAATAACCCCTAGAATTTTCAGGATGGTATTTTGAGTTGGCATCCTGTCTCTCAAATACCTGGCCTTGCAGCATATCTGAAATTTCTATAAAATCGATGTTTCAAATTCAGATTTCAGTTTTATACTTTACCCGAAACCGGTCGTGAAATAAAAATTTTTCCAGTGGTATTCAGACAAAAGTGTTTTTATTCATTTCATTTGAGTGATCATGAATTACCATTGAGTAAACAAGTCATCAATCACCCATATTGAAAATATGTCTTATATTTTGGAACACATGTGTTGATTTTATTTCAGAATTAAACAGTATTAAAGTCAGTTCTACCTTCTCATTCTGAGAAGAGAGAATAATTAATTTACTCTGATAAACATATTAGTGTCTCAAAACAAATTCTATCGTTCTTGATGATTTTCAGCCTTCAAATAAAAGCAAAGCTGAATAATTGAATAGCTGACATTTACTAGGATAAGCGGTTGGAAAAAAAACTTTTTGGGTTTCTAATTCTTCTTCATTGTATAGAAAATGTGAGAAACTTACAGAGAAAGGAATAAAGAAAATAACTTCACAAAAATTTGTCATTCACAGTAGTCCATTTCAGATACAAATAAAAAAAATTACTATTTTCACTATCGCTGATATAAAATCTTACTTTCATGCAACAAATGAATGTTTCGTCTTTTGACATTATGATAAAGAGATTCTGATGAGAAGTTGAAAACAAGTGTTTCTGCACGAAACTTTTCGAGATCCACCCCGTGTAGATAATTTGGGTACCAGATGGATGCGAAAAAACAATTTCCATGTAATTCAATGTTCAAATGTCCGAAAAAGTATTCAGTCGAGCCAAAAAGAAAATTCACCTGATTCTAAGAGACAAAGATAAAAATTTCAAGCGTTAACTTAGTTGGGTCAACCTTGTATAAAGATTTCGAATTTTTTGACGGAATAATGGTGTGAACATCGCCTATAAACTAGAAAAAACTCAAGTATGCAAAGGCAAGAGTTTCGTTGTTGAATATGGTGGAGTTTATATATTATCGTTTGGATCGTGTCTAATAGTCTACATAGGTCAAACTTACATTACATTCGAAACACGCATGAAAGAACATGCAAACAGTTTCCAAAATGAAAAAGTGAACTCAATTCAGGCAAATCCCTTTCTTCCGTAGGAGTTCAATCATGAATTTGATTCTCTTTATTTTTAGGATGAAAGATTGAAACTTAACCTTCTGTAAAGTAAAAAAAAATAAATGAATTCCAGAATTATCAACAGTCTATGAATGATCATTGATCAGAATGCCTCGCCTCTGTTGAGTTCGTTTCCACCAGGTTCCCTTCTAGATCTATATTATGTAGTACTATTAATTTATTATTCAATTTTTCACGTGGACTCAATGAATCCATTATTATCCGTTCTGTCAACTAGTTTTCTCATCCAAAATCCACCATCGCATTTGTTCTGCATGAAAATGATATTGTATGTATAGCTAAACTCGTGTCGCGAATTTATTGAATATGTTGTAGGGAAAATATTACAACCAACTGAAGAGAAAGTTTCAATATAGATTTCCATCAAGTTTCAGCCAGTTCTATGCAACGATTGAGTGGCCACTACGTTCACCTGACTTGGCTCTATATATTTTTGTGTACACGGCATCCTTCCTCAGTGTCAACGCAAATACTACGATGAATTATTAATAAAATCTATTCAATTATTGCTTTTTTTTAAACGTTTTGGCAATCGAAACTGACGACATTTCTCACAATATTAATTCAATATATTTCATATCACGTTCCTCTGTTACGTATTCGTCAAAGAAAGTCTATAATGCAAAACAAGAACATGCCTTTCTGCATGCACAATAAGTTACCAAACATCGGACTCGATTTCGAATGGTTTCGCCTTCGTATATTCAAATTGAGGTTTTCCCAGAGACGATATTTGGCCAGGTGACAACTACATGTGTAATATTTGTATTGTTTTCATTGCTGGTTTCTGTGCGACATGAATTTTTTTGTTAATTCAATAAAAGGTGTGGTTTTAGCTGCAGGAAAATTATTTTTGAATTTGAATGAAGAATTTAGAATCCCTGGTGAAGTATAATGGGCACTTTCACAAGTGATTTTTTGTCAAAACCCGAAAATAATCAAATATTTTCGGAACCATCAATGAAATCTATAAAAATTTCATGCTGAAATGACGACAGAGATCAGAGTTGAACTATATTTCGTATGTATTTTCAATTGGAGAAATGACAAGAAGTGTTGAAATATTTTGTATACAGTGACGGTTCATTTACAGTTTCAGAGATGTCTTTCATTCAAGAATTGAAATTGAAAAAAAAAATCAAAGTCGCATCATAATACTCTCACTATTCAACAATGTTTTCACAAACTAATTCAATCACTTACCATACTTGTTTCCCTTATGAGTTGGTTGAAAGTCCTGAACATATTTCTTTGGCAAAATCCGGATTTTGTAATTATCACAGTGTAAATTAATAATAATTTTCTAATTGACGAAGTCGAACCCATCATTTGGATTTGATTCTTCCTAACTAATATTCTCTAAGACAAAGATGTAGAAACGGTAACAGCTCCCATATCAATAATTGAGGTTTCCTGAAAAAAAATTATATAGTGACCTTTTTTGAAGTGTTCAGTACTGTAAACTCTCAATTAGAATATAAAATTTAAAATTGAAATCAATATAATACGATAGGTAATGCTCCACCCGCCACAAATTCGAAAAAAAACTGCTGAAAATATGAAAACTGGTATGCAACACCAGACTTTTCGATACTCCATATTAAACTCAAGAAGTTATAATGTGTACATCAACATCGTCCAACGTCTACATATGTGAGAGCTCGCAAACAAATGGTTGTGTACTACTTAGAATTGACTGTTCTGCGTTGTTCTAGTGGTACGATTGCGACATGTCCAGTTTTTCCGAAAAAACAGGCGACCATTTGCATGGAAGAGCTTCGTACGTAACTTTTGTTGGATTTGACTCATCTTGAAACAGCAATACAGTCGACTGCTGTTTACTTTCAGGCTCATACGTGTAAATCCACGATTTATCACCTATCACGACAGTCAAATGTTTATATATTGAATGTATGCTGGTCCTACTAATGCCTAAGGTTGTCCCAATCTCACGATAGGTCACATGACGATCTTGCAATATCAGTTCGCGCACAGCATCAATGGTTTTCGGAACAGCAACAGATTTTGGACAACCTCAACGAAATTCGTTTTGGAGTGAACTACGACCACGATTGAATTCACCATACCATCGATAAACACTGGTCTTTGATGGAGCTTCGTTGCCAAAAATTGAATTAAGTTCATCCATGCACTGTTGCTGAGTTAATCCACGTCGAAAGTTGTGAAAAATAATCGCACAAAAATGTTCACGATTTAATTCCATTTTTGGGCCGAGATGAATCTTTTAAGTTATTGTAAACACGAATAGTGTGCGTATGTCAGAACTTTCTAAGTACGTATAAGCTCAAAAATGTCCACTTTTAAGATAGAGCTGTCAGTTGCCAGATTACAACAGTACGGTTGCCAAATCGCGAAATATAAAAGGCAACCTAACAATGGGTACTCTTATTCGAATTTGGAATCTCAACTGAGCTCTATACTTATCATAATTATATATTATTTCCTTTGTACACTCATGGATTTCTCTCAAACCGACCTCTTCGAACTGATCCGCGAACAAATCCGATCTCTGAACTAGTCTGCGAACTATTTTGATCCGCTCTATTTTCAAGTAAAGCGTAATACATACCTACCATATTCGAACGCTCTTGTATGTTCTTCGAATTTCTCTACATCATTTGAAGGGATTTCATAGATATTTGTTCGCCTCAGCCACCTTTTGTGAGACTTTTGCGCCAGTGGTGTATGCTAACACTACGGCGTAATAATAATAATAACTAGGTAGTTCTTGATGTTTCATCAGTTTTATGGAGATCTACTGAGCACTGACTTTTATCGAATATTGATGCGTATTCTAACTATTATCAACTTGTTTCTCTAGTAATCGTAATCGAATAATAAACCTGAAGGAATGTACTTTAAAATATTACCTAAATTGTAATAATCGGCATTATCTGGAACTGTTTAGGAATTATGTACTATTTCTGGTCTTTCTTAGCAGAGACCCTTATTATCGTTGTTGCGTTCACATTGAATATTGTGATGATATAATTTTATCAAGTATCGGTAAATTCCTTCATGAATATTCAATTTTTTCTGTTACACATCCAATTCAAATATTTAATCTCCATTAAAAATGATTCTGGAGCTTCGCTAGCCGAATATTTCTCACAGTGTGGTAATTACTATTCAAAATCATCTGCTTTCCTAAAAGCATCAAATACTCAATTCCTCATTTGAATAATTTGCTAATTAATTACTTTAAGGGCTGGGTAGGCAATTAGCGTGTATTCTCACCGACAAAACGAAAGTGATGACAGCATGGGCGCAGCTCAATAAATTTTTCAATAGGAAGACATGGTATTGAATGTTTTATCAACTCTTTTCAATTAAAAAGTCTCCATGGTGCATTCCCGAAGTTTTACAGTCTGAAACTCATTCTCTTGATGAAAACTGAACCATTCGATTCAAAGGCTCACTGTCTATTGTTTCATTAAATTACCTTGAACAAACTTTTCAGGGTGCCAATGGTTTACAGCCATAAATATTTGAATGAATGATATTCCACTCTGAAGAGTTGAGCAACTAATGAATTAACAAATCTGTCGGAAAACAATTCCATAATCAGTGTCATCGACAGTCAATAAAATCTTGTGGAGAGAGCTTTTAATAAATTCTCTTTACTTCTATTTGATCACTTTCGTTATAAGTTAATATACGATTGTAAATTTCACTGTAAAATTCACTCTAAAATCAACAAATGAATATAGATATCTACTTCAAAGTGAAACCATGACATTTTTCAATAAAGCCTACGCAGTGCCTACAGAAAGCAACTACTTCCATAACTGTGACAAGTCAAATATAGAATTATTGAAAAATTATATCTGAACGAAAAAACAAATTCAGTTGGTCAGTTGGTGGGAATCAAGCGTTGAAAGGTAAGACCTCATTAGTCCTTAGCTCGCACAAGTTTCTCAACTTCTGAGAGTTGTCGTTCGTATGGGGGCGACGGAAAAACAGAGTTTAAGCAGATTTTGAACAATAAAAAATTATACTGCAATCCTAGTCATAGCAACTGTAATAATCCCCTTCACCAGGAGGAGAAAATTGGATGGTCCAACTCCACTTTCCTTCAATGGTAACGTGGTTCCATTTGAATCGAAGGTGAAATATCTTTGCAATGTCCTTGATAAAAAAATCACCTGGAACGTTCACTTGGAAAAAGTTTTACACAAAGTCAGACTGTCCCTATGGGCATGTCGAAGGATTTGTAGTGAGACTTGAGGTTTAGGTCCTAAACAAATCCATTGGATTTATGTGTTGATTGTCAGACCAATCATCACTTATGGTGCAATTGCCTGGTGTCCGAAGGCTTCACAGAAAACGGTCCAGGCGAAGCTCTCTGGCTTACAGAGACAGGCTTATGCTTCCAACTGTCAACTACGAACTACCTTAGGAAGTACTGTTCCTGAGTAGAGAGACCTGGATCCTGGAGCAGATAGTTATTGATTCACAGATGGATCAAAAACACCTTCCGGTTCTGGTGCAGGTGTTTTCAGTCGCAGACCCAGGACAGAGATATCAACCTGCCTAGAAACCTATGCGACTGTATTTCAAGCGGAAATTTACGCTATTGAATTATGTAAGGAGATATTGGAAGAATCCAACCTCATACACAGTCAATTGGCGTTGGAAGCTCTTGGCTCCTATCGAGCAACGTGTAAATTGGTATCATATTGCCAGAAATGAGTCTCCACGATAGGAAGACTCAACAGATTGTCTCTGGTCTGGATTCCTGGCCATACTGGCCTGGAAAGCAATGAGGTTGCTGACTCCCTTTCAAAGGAGGGGGCTGCAAACAGCTTCATCGGAACAGAACCTGTCATTGGTATCGCTTTAGGCTTTGCCAAACAAAGATTGAACACCTAGATGGCAAGAAGATATATAAACTTCTGGCAGAATCTTCCAGGATTGGCTAACTCCAAGGCGTTTATTCACCCTTCGAAACTTGATACCAAACAGTTATTGGACTACAGTAGGGATAAACTACGATGGCTAACAGCCCTTCTTACAGGTGACTGTCATTTGATTCATCATGTGCCGATACTCGGACAGTCGGAAGACAGTGTGTGTCGCCTCTGTTTGTAAAATGATGAAACAGCAGAGCACATTCATTGTGCCTGCCCCGCTGGGGAATGAATCAGGTTTTTAGAGTTCGGCAGAGTCGTACTCCCACCATCTAACCTGAAAGGTCACTCCCCATACAAACTAATCGGCTTCATTCAGAAGCTGGGTTTATTTGGTCAAGTATATTTTTCACAGTGGTCGTAGATACGCCACAATCCGTGGGTATCGTTTTCGTTGTTTGTTGCGGATCATTAACAACAACTGCCAGAACGTCGATTTGCTGTTTTTCTGAAATAGATTCTTTTTCTCTCGTTACGCAACGAGTCATTTGAAATTTACTAACCAATTCCCTCAAGTAGGTACGAGATATTGGATTATTTGGGAAGCGCTCATTAAATATTATTTCTGCTTCATAGTAATTAAGCCTAGCTTCAGCGTAAATTGAAATTGCTTCGGTTTTTTCTTCTAAAGGACGGGGAGAAGCATTTGAAAATAATAAAGGGATGCTGCAACCTATGAAAACTGTCAGAAATATCAATATGATTAACGTCAATATTAGAGTGACATTGAAATCAAATGCTATTTGGAGCATACAGCAAAATAACTAGGGTATAAAAAACTGGAATAAAAACCACAATTCAAAATACCAATAACATGCGCGTCTGTTTCAACACAGAAAATTGGCTTTTCGACCAGAATCAGTAACGGAGTTAAAATTTTGCTGAAATTAATAGTTGAAATAATTACTTATTTTTTAATATTTAAAGCAAATTTCAGACGCTTGTCATTTTGAAACGGCTAAGCCACTTTTCACAAACCCAGCGGTGTGGGATAGAGAATCGGAAGGCCTTCAAAACCAGAAGGCAGGTAACCCCTTTTACATTAAAAAATTTGATGGTGCCCTTATGACACTGGGCCACGTGACCACAATCAATTTTATGCCAAAACTTAGTAAAACTACTACCTTTTCACATGAATTTGACCCGAGGAATTTTTACGTCCTCACTATATATAGATTTCCATTATTTTCGCAGTTCTTCGTTATAACACCATAATACCTACCTCTTGGAAACCGTCACTTCACATGCTCAGATGTAGAAGATGAAGTTGAAGAAAACAATTAAGGCTGCACTAATAACCTTGAAGGATTCCATGGTGCCACTGAGACATCGATAATACCTACATCAAAGGTTGATTAATGGTGTATGTAACTTCGAAAGTGATGTAATTGAATTTGTTGCAGGTAGTTGCGATGAATTGAATACCTGTCACATCAGTTACGGTAACAGTTATAATGAATGTCCATGTATTTCCATTCAATT